TTTGTTTACATTGTCTTAATAATGCACTAAAAAGGGAGGTGGCAATTCTAGCCCAGAGGTTTCCATTAACAGCTACCAAAGCACCAATCTTATTCTAGAATTATCAGATCTGTCAATCTCAAGGCACCAAGGGAGTATTTCCAGTGACAATATTGACATTATCTCTGATTTACCTTCTGCTTACAAACTTTAGTTTAAGAATTGTTTACAGATAATCAATACTGTGTATTTGCACCTGCTTTGTGTCAAATGATACTGATATTGAGCTATATTTTTAGATATTATGATGATATATATTGGTTTTGAAATTGAAGTATATTTCTTTCCTGTATCACATAAAAGAGCAAACATAAAATAAATGATGCTTAAACTGTTTCAGAAAAAGATACTGTTTGTCTCAGAATTGTTCCAATTTCGCCTTCATAAATAAGACCATGGTATGTGCAAAGTGCTACATTTTGAACAATCTTTGAAGAAACCAAGGATATTTTTCAGCTGAACTGACTGTTCCAAATTTAGTCCAGTGCCTGCTCCAGTTTTTGTCTTGATAAATATGGTTCTTACAAGGAATAATTTGCCAAAGATTATATAATATGCATATTATAAAATACATTGTGCTAAATATAAAAATTGTAATGTAATTCTCCTAAATTTGCAAGGAACAAGGAGTTTTATTAACAATACTTGGTTTACTTAGTCACAAGGAAACATTTTACAGCTTCAAGACATGAAAAGATAAAATGTTTTTGTACGGGTTAAAACTGACAGTAATTACAATGATACAGAGATGTCCGATTTTTATCTGTCCTGGGTAAATATGAGACAGTATCTATTGTTATTTGTTACTATGAATAGGCTGGGACCCTGGAGATTTGGTTTAGGTGATGAACCTGGCAGACACTACTGTGATACACAGTTGCCTTGATATAGTTATTAGTCTGGATATGACTCAGGCTGCAATGTTAGCAAAGAAATAGCTTGAGCTCATAATAAAACCCGAGAATGGAAGCCATCCAAAAGGAAGATCTGCTGACAAAGGTGGACCTAATTACAATCTCATGCAAACAGACTGAAAGTAAGAGGATTTTTTTTACTCTAATAGTGCCAAATGTTTGCAGAACATTTTTAAAAATACACATTAGAATAAAAGGAATTTGAATAAAATGCAGGGAAAATTACCCCAAAGTAAAAGTAAACATTATGAATAAATAATACTATTATGCCTCGAGGCCTCGGATTATAATAATATTTGCACCATGCATATTTTTTCAGTGCCCAGAAAAACATGCCTGAAACTACAGAAGCAATTGGCAGAAAAGTGCCCAAATTGCAAGTGAGTTTTATTTTATCTTAAAGGAGAATTGAAGGTTGGCAGTTAGCTTTCTGTCTGTGTTAAAACACAATCTTTAGCCATTCCAAATGTGTTTTCTGAGTGCAAGTTGCAAGAGTATCCTTTAAAGGTATGCAATATTTGATGGCATCCTGGATTTAATTTTTACAAATATAGTATAACTTGAAGGAGTTGTGACATCATGAGACGGTCTTTAATAGGTAAGGAGTAATTGACGACAGGCCATTGAATTATTAGAAAAATAATGCACACCTGAGGTGGTAATACGGTCACAATGCGAAGCGGAGTGGCCGTTACACCTCGGGTGTGCATTATTTTTTCTAATAATTCAACGGCTTGCAGTCAATTATTCTGCTTATACTACAGTTATCACACCTTGAAACATTGTTCAGATAAAGTATTTCAAGATGTTTGTCAAGTTTTTGTCGTTAAAATGCTCTTGTATGTAGGACTAATTTCTTACGCAAGTGTAATGCAGTCAAGACCTGTCTGGAACTACTTTAGCCGTGCATCTCCCTGAAAATAATGCACACCTTATAATGTTCGTCAACCAATCAGATTGAAGCATTTAACAGCCCTGTAGTATAAAATTCTATATTCCCCACCATTTGAGAATAATGTTAGTACCTTCTGAGTTCACGCTTTAAGGAATCTCTAAACTTGATTAGGAATATTTTACACATTAAGTGAATTGCTTCTCATGGAGTAAAAACATGCAATAATGTGGTAGCAGCTCTTACCAGGTTAACCATTTCCCATAAAACAAATTCAATGCATAGAAGCAGTTTTAAGACACTATATAAACATTAGAAGATTTACAGGGAAAAGATAAGAAACAACAGTAAAATCCATGAGATTTTACTTGTGTAGAATAGGTATTTTATTTCAAATCATTACTACCTGTCCATCCCTCATAAAATATAAGGGTCCTAACCCACAAGAAGTCTAGCATCATAGCAAAAAAGAAAATAAAACTTTTTAAAGGACATAACACAAGATCTGGTAAACTAGATATCTGAAGGCATAGTTTATGAAAGCAAACACATTATAGGAACTAAGCTCTCACTTCATTAATGTGTCCAAGAGTATGCTTGATAAAGACCCGGTTGGGTCTAAAGGTTGCTGTTTTTGCCTCAATAAAGCTGCTATTTTTGTTATCTTGGAGTGCCTGAACCATTATTTATTCTGCATGTCTTGAAAGGGAGGCCTGGCCAGCCCTGGCCTCAGAGCACCTGTGTTACTTGGTGAGTGTGGTATCCAGTACATCTCTACAAGAGTATGCATGGTCATGGCATAGGAACAGTACACTCAGTTTCTTGCCAGATGCATAATTTGTGAGTAATTTTCTGTCCATACACCCCACAAAAGAGAAAAATAATAAAATAGGTCTCTAGGAACTAAGAAAACAAAGTTTCCACATATGTTAGTGTAATACTGGGCAATAACTAACCTCTTCAAATAAACTAGCGTATGCCTCTAGTTCATGATAAAAGAAAGTATAAAAGCTCCATGAAGATCTATGTTGGTATAAACATATTCTTGTTTAATGAAAAACCTTAGGATAGAGATTTAAGATATGGCAACTGATTGCTTGATAGCTTTACTTCCAGAAAGGAGACAGATTGGTGTTTCTCTTTAGGCAGATAAATCATATATCCACTGGCAGTCTAGATTCTATTTGTCCAGAGCCACTTTCTTCTTTAACTTACTTTCTTCTTTAACTCACTGGAATGAAAATATTTCCAGATCTCTGACCCAATTCTTTCTCTTTGATATGGGAAGGAAACAAATGATAAGTGGCAAAAACAATATGGACCTCTCCAGCACAAACATTGTTGAACTTGGATACAAATTGTAATAGATGTTCTCCAAGTCAACAGAACTTCTTCTTTTGAAACAAGCAGAGGTCATGTGACTGTGGCAAGACACACTCATCCAAGGTTGACGAGCCTTCATAGTGCTGCCAGACATCAAGCATCCTAGGATATTAATGGATTGTCCTTTGGGGATATAGTGTCCATATTGGGCCATTCAGTAATATATTACCAGTTATTGTATCTCTGTTACTACAGGGTTATGGATTTTCTGTCCTGATATTCTTATAAAACAAACATGAGAAATTAATTTTACTTCAAGAAAAAAACTTATAGAGGCTTACTTTATTGATACTAAAAATGTAGATGTTGGACATGTGAACTTCACTAAATATCTACACAAGTGTGTTAGCTCTTTAACCTGCTATTGTATTGGATCTCATTTTTCTTTGTACTAAATTTTTTTTAATCATCTATAACATCTATGTACATTTTAGCTATAATATTTTTGCATACTTCAAGATTTTTCTATATGCAGTACATTTACATAATTGTATAACGTGCTAAATATGCCTGCAAGCATTTTAGTGCTATTTTAAAAGGAGTGCTACATCTCATTTTCACTTTATATGCAGTGAGGCAGAGAATAATCACAAATTAATATATGGGCACAAAACTCACATCTGATCGTAAAATGAACTTGGAACGCCCATAAAATTATTAAATGAATGCATTTTACAAGATTTACTATAATTGTTTATGCCAGTCATGTGCTTTTGCTGACAAAGCTATTGCCCTTGAACATTACAAGACTATATTCATAAACATTTAGACACAATGCAATACTGGTTTCTCAAATCTTATGTAAGATCTAAAAGGTTGCCATTCAAACGTTTGCCCAAGATTAATTTCTATGTTTAAGAAAGAGATTGCCTGGATGAATGGCAATTGAGCAACTAATGTAAATTCAAAAAAATCAGTTTACCTCTTAACAGACTAATCTTTCCTTGCCCCAACACATGATCTTTCTCTGAAAAACATCCATCAGCAAATAACCCCCAAAAAAGAGAATAAAATGCATGCAATAAAAACAGACAAAACCACAATAGCTTTGCATTCTTAGGTTCAACTCAGAAGGTCTCATACAGTGTTAGCTCACTTGTGTCATTATTGAAGCAACCTATAATTGCTCATCTGTTGAATCCATTTCATAAGGGCAATTGAGAACATGCGTGATTGGTGAACTCTACAACAGAGAAAATGTGGACCCATATTCAGTGTACCTCATGAATTTGGTATAAAAGAGGAAGAGGTTGAAACACTTGTCTGATGTTTATTTCTAAGTGCAATGTACTCAGAGTGGAGTAATTCTTCTCACAAACCATATCTCACAAATCCATATCCTGCCAGGTACTGAGATATAGAATGCAAACAATAAGGGGGGCGGGGCCAAGCCAGCAAGCTGAGCAGACACATGAAAACTGGGCTCCTGCTTTACTTGCCGATTTCATACAGATACTCGCCACAATCGAGACAATAAGCGAACCAGGGTGCACTGTCTATGTCAGGAGTGACCCAGTGAAAAGCCTGATACCTGAACTGAGCGTTTTGGAGATCGGGAGCCCAGGGTGGATAGCTGCGGCCTACAGATGGCGGAACCGGGGAGAGGCGGCCGCTCTCCTCGCCCTAACAGTAGAGGTACAGACCCACCAATACCCTGCTCCCCCCTCTGGACCGGCGGGGGTCATCCCGGTCCAGCCCTGAGGGGTAACCTTCCTGCCCAGGCCCCAAGGGTGGAACCCAGCGAGCAACGAGAAGCAGCGCAACCAGACAAAATGGCCGCCGCCACGTGTGCTCGAGACACGGAGAAGCCTGACCTCGAGACCAAGCTGGACGAATTATTCGACAGGTTCTGGAGGACAATAGCAACCAGGGAGCAACAGGCCAAGGCATGCAAACCTGTCACAGTGTTGCCGGTTAACTCCCAACAAGAGTGCACACCTCCTCATGCAAATAAAGTCCACAAACGGCACCGTGGACGGCAAAAACGAAGAGCCCGAAAGCCCAAGAGACTACCACTGCCAAAGGCGGCGACCCATCACAGCAAGTGCCTGGCGAAATTAAACCTTCCTGAGAGGCATGAAAAGACGACTCTGCAGCAGCGGAACACTGAGTCAAATAAAGACCGGACACGGCCGGGGGATCACGGGCAGACCACGACTCAACTCCTCCGCCAAGATCATCCAGAGGTGTATCCTCACCCTGGCAGACCCCGGAGGCAACACCACAACCCGCTGCACAGCACCTCACACAGGCTACCCCACGATAGCAGGTCCACTTCACCGGAGCGGGGCTCTGATCTCGCAGTCGCACAGACCTCATGCATCATACGGAGTGGCTTGCTATACTATACCACCAAACAGATCCCTGCAACCAGGCAGCAGGCCTTGAGATCTGGAGTCGGCTGGGGGACTACCTTAAAATGGCTACCGGAGTCCAACACCTACTTTGGGTTCTGCTGGGACACTTGCGGACTTTACCTACACTGCGGACATATTTTATATAAACAGCAGAGGACTCTATTTACGGCAAAAGAGCAAAGTTTGCCTTGATTTTATACATATTGCTTTTCTTGTTTGTTTTGCTTATTTTTTTTATTTTTATTTTTTTGCTCTATATCTGCCGCATATCTGTAAGTACAGATTAAGTACTAACCCCAATGCCCAATATCCTAATAGCACTGGGTACTTGCAATTTAACTTAGCATACAACTCTGCTCATGCCGGGGGCCGTGGTGGTGGTGGTGGGGGGGGGAGTACCACTCAGGACCTAGCGATTACATGCTGAGCCTCTCCTAGCATAGCCTCAATATCCTGTTTCCAAATTAGTTTAGCATACTTACCTTTGTGATCACTAATCTATAGCCTTAATGGCTAGGAAGGCTCTAATTATTTGTAAGCTTAACACCTATGTAAAGGTAGACACATCAGCCTGTTATGATGATGTTCAATTCAACATGTTACTAACCTATGTCAGTCACGTCAATTTACCTCTTGTAAACATACCTATTGCTACTGCCACTCGCAATGACTAACCTTATGATTTACTCAGCATTACTCAACGAAAAAAAAAGAAATGTGCAGATAATATTAATGCACCAACTGTTATGCCTGAAAATATGCTCGAGGATTGCTATTGGGGCACCACGAGTCTGTATGTTCTACACTCAAAGCACAATAAAAATAAAGAATTTAAAAAAAAAAAAGAATCCAAACAATACTATAAAACCATTGATGACCATTTGTTTCCCATATTTGAGCAGATCCATATCCAATACAGGAAGATGTATATAAATGTCTACATTTTATATCATCAACACTGGTGATGGGCAAACAGTAGAACTCCAAATGTTGTAGCATTGCAATGTCCATCATGCTTTGAGATTTTAAAGGCTGGCCAAGCATCAAGGCATTTGTAATTCTACAACAGATTGAGATTTACAGATTTACCTTTTGCCAAGCCCTGATCTACACCTTCCTTTTTCAAACAATCCTTTATATTGTACACATTTAGATATTCCAAGGGGTCATGGATACCTTTATACCTAAATGAAAGACAAGGGTTACTTTACTAGAATATATTATACTGAATACTGTGCACTCCTCATCAACTTTATTGAAAAACATGTTTAATTACCTCCTTATGAAAGACATGCTAGAACCAGAGGAACTGCAGGACCAGTGGTAAAATTACTTTTTCTGTTAAGATGCCTTTACACATTTGTGTATTTAAATTTAGGAACTAACGTTTTTTAAGAATCCTTGCTGCTGTCCTGCTTTAAGAGTACATTAAAGTCCCATTAAGGAATTTAATAGAAGGCTTAAAGTTAGAGCAGACTTTTTTGCTTTGTGTTTGTGAATGTTTTTTTTTTTTTTTTAAATCACACATTATAAATATATATTTTAGTTGGCAATAATACACTATATAACCTTTTCTTCATTGTATTTTTTGTCATACTGAGTAACCTGGGATAGAATACTGTGTGTTTCCAGGATAGTTCAATCTTACAAGTAAGTGTTCTTTCTATTTTTCCTCAGTGCACTTTTAAGATATTACACATGAAGGAAATTTTGTATACACTGAAGTTTTTCGTATATTGTATTGGAGTTTTGCACTAATATTTTTTTGGGAATTTTCATTTTAAGCTGGTATTTTACATTATTTGCAATGGATGTGTGAAGAATCACGATATAGTCTATAATATATACAGCGCACCTTTTTGTTTATTTGTTTTTGGAGTATCATTTTTATGGGTGCTATCGCATTTTGTAGGTGTTGCCATATTTGCACAAAAAAACAAACAAACATATGCACATATTTTAAAATTGTTTAATGTCTTTTTACTGGTTCTCTTTTTATTCTTCAGATTTTGCCAAGCTGTTCTGAAATTGGTTTTATACAAATCCAGAGTGACTACACTTATAGAACTCTAAATCATTAACCACTGAATTAAGATATTGTGTTGGGTATGGTGCTTTAGTGTATCTTTAACATCAATTATACCACTCTTTTCATTATTTAAAACCATATATTAAGTAAGCCAGATATTACTTGTGCTGCTTTCCTGATATCTTGTCATTGTATTGACTTTATCAGAAGTTGGCCTCTTTATTTGATTCTTGTCTTAAATCTGATTTTTAATTTATTGACCAAATCTGATTGTGCCATGCTGTGCCTGCCCTAACCTTCAGCTTATTATCTTGTTTAACACCTGTTTGCTACTTCTGACCTTCACTTGCCTTGACACTTTTACTTTGCTTTGTCATTACTCATGTGGCATGTAATATGTTCATAAATCACTGCTCTCAGTGGATCCATTCCTTGTTGTGACTATCAGATATTTTATATAGTGAAGACAATACAAATGCCATATTTTGGACTATATATTTTAGACAATCCTTATATAGTAACAATGGGAGTAAAGAAGTAAACAATGTAAAAGGAAGTGTGGTTCACACTGAATGAGGAAACACTGAAATCAGAAAAGAAGTAACAATGAAGGTGGCGAAGAGAGTATATTGAGCTTAAGTTCAAATTTAGCACTGTCCCCTGGAATACAAGCACGTAGCAGAACGTGTTTGCTGTGGAAGCTAAGCAAAATAAATAATTGCATTCAGTTTGACTACACTACGTGGCCCCATTTTTTGTACTTTAGACCACTTTTTAGAACAGTACACTTTGAAGTCTAGCACGAAAAATAATAATGAAATAAAACAAAAGTATACACCTAATACAACAGAAAATAATAAGAAACAATTACCATAAAACATAATACTTGTTTGACATTTGCCTCGTGGACAGGATTCGCTGTATCTCAGGAAAATATCTGTGCCAGTCTTCTTCACATGTGATTTTGTTATTTTTTTCATAACTTTTTGATGCAAAAACAAATGAACAAAATGTAGCTCTAAATGGACCAATATGTAGAACGAATGTTTTTGTTGTTTTCTAAAATCTTTTAATAACTTGAGAAAATTGAGTTTACAGTGGGTTTAAACTACTCTGCATTGTATTTTAAAATCACAATGTCCATATTGGCTTTCCTGGATACTTAGCATGGAAGCTTAAAGGGACACTGTAGCCATTAAAAGTACTAAACTAATTTTATCTTATTGAATTGATTATAATCCATAAAATTCCATGGTGCTGTCTCTCCATTTAGTCCTAGACCTTTTTCAAGCATTTTTCAGAGCCAGGCACACACTAGAGGTATAACTAAAGCAGAGATTGTGTTCTTCCTTAGTCATACCAATTCCTAGCCGCAATGGAGGCTGAATGCAGTCATCACTCTCAGACAATCACCACAGACCATTGCTACTTACACTAATGCCTCCTCATTTGCTTAATCAGCCACTGAAATGGGCTGCTGGGAGTCTTGTTTAATATAAAACTATTAAAGTGGTTTAGCACTTAATGAAAGTATGGTGGCAGGTGACACCAAAAACAATAATGCCATCCCTTATTAGAGAACCTATTACTACACCCATACTAGTGTGGGCACCTAACCAGGGGAGTATTTATCAAGATGTGATTTGCACACAAATCAGCAAACTCTGCTTCCAAAAGAAACTCAGAATACACCTAAAATGTATCCATTTTTTTTTTGCAGAACCGGTGACTTGTGGCTGAATTCTTTTGCATCACATATTTATATCACACATTTCAATATACTAATATTCTTAAATTCTGAAAGCATTTTAGTTCAGTGACTTATTTGCTAAAAGATTGATGCAGGACTTAATTCACAACCTTATAAATTGATTTTGGACAAATTCAACAAATCTCCATAGCTAAACCTTCATCCAGAAATAACCCACATCCAGATGTATTCTGCATTATTTAGACACTTATTAAAATCAGCAATAAACATCTTGCAGGGTAGATAGAATAAATAATGTATTAGGCATGCCCAGTAACATCATATATTATGACATATTTTAGATGAAAAATAGATTGCTTGTATGTAATTTTCATCTTGTCGTTTATTCTTACAATGGAAATGATTGATGATTCATTAGTAAAAACAGATCTAAAACCTGAAGATTTGTCTGAGGAACTGAAAGATATCAAGAGCTTTGGAGCCAAGTATTAATGCACTAAAATATGCTGAAAAGAAAATGAAAAACAAAATTAAGCTGTGCAGTGGGAAATAACATGGTATAAAGGTAAAAATCAACACGGAATCCTCAGTGATGAATTCGTTAAACCAATTCTGTCTAGCCCAAAAAGCAATTCTGGACTTCGTGTTGAGGGTAACATGGAGATTAAATATTCCTATCAGGTGTCATAGATTCAAAAAGTGTCTCAAGCAATAACCAGTACAGTACTTAGATTATTTTTATGGCATTAGTTTAACACCGTATTATTCAATTATAAAACAAGCTCAGTGGCCTGTAGTTTAATTCTGAGATAATATATTTGATATAACATTTTCAAGATGACTTATATTCATCCTCCATTGCCTGAGTGTTCTCCATTGCATTGGTTGACAGAATATGATCAGAATATATATATTTATGCCTGTTGTCCGGGGCATCATTTGTATAATATGCCTGTTCCACCCACCAATGACCCATTGAAAATGGTATTAGAAAAAATATATTTCCATACAATTGGTGACTCAAATATCATTGTTCCAGCAAGTCAAAATAATTTGTAGGAAAAAATTATAATTTATTACTTTTCTGGTCATAGCTTCTCTTTCCAATTTCTATTTCATTAACCTTTTCTAACATTTTATTTTGTTCTATTGTTGCAGTTCTTTACAGTTAAAAATAACTATCAATAAAAAACAATTTACAACAAAATAAGCATATTCCAACGTGTGGCTTTGCATCTTGTCATGACTTAAGATGCAACAAGTGTCAAAGAAGAACTGAGTGAAAATACTTGAGATTAAAGGTAGTGTATGCATGAATGCATTTCAAATGCAAATTATATCCCAAGAAACAAACCTGGCGAAGATACGTTTTTATTAAAGCTAAGCTACAGCAACTTATATCTATAAATATGCATGCTGCTCTTAGGTTTTGGTTTTGTTTAACTAAATAAA